CCGCTACCGAAGATACGGCTGCATATGTGTACCCATATATGCATGCAGCATCACGGCCGCTTCATACCAATCCCTTTGCTTCATAATTTGCTCAGCAAATGAATGAATACGAGCGTCAGGAACGGTCGTCCGTTTGTGGGCGGGCGGGCGAGGAAGGCGTTTGGGACGGAATGTTGTTGCTCGATAGGGCGTTATAGGGGTACCCTCCTTGGAAAAGGCGCCACGGAGCGCCTGTCCGAGGTCACGGAATTCTGTTAAGCCAGTCGTATAAATTCTACATCTGTATACAGCGAGCTTATCGTGCCAACTGCCTTTAAGGGAGCCCTCGACTAGTTTTCTGGATCACTTCTTTTGGCTTCGAACCGTTTATTTCGTTTAAGCAATGGTTTATGAAGCGAGGCATAGATGGGAAAGGGAGGCATAGATGGGAAGAATGCAATTAAATTCCCTAAGGAAAACGTTATTCATACAGTAGACAAAGCATTTCTGGCTTATTTCCCCTTTATTGGTAAAGTGATTCAAAAGGAAATCATTTTACATGCGCAAATCCTGTTGAGTCATCTTTGCAAAACTTTGGGAAGATCCAATACACTCCCGCCCGAAAGAAAATGTTAAGTAGAGAGAAGTGCTATTGAGCTTTCTTTTTTTCTTACAACTTTGCTAGGCAGTCTGAAAGCGAACCCCAACAGTTCGATCCGGCCACTTACAATGAGATGTACAGGGGGGGGGCCAAAAAAAAGTCACTTCGACCGAGTCACATATCAGCAAAGTTTTCGCAGCCCAGAGAGAAGACGTGGATACGAGTACCAGGGCGGAAGATACCCAAGATGTTCCTCGATAAGCAGAGCTGGCCCTCGCTCATCACCTTCATGTACACCAAAAGGAGCGGGTTGATGGTATGGACCGGAGGTACCTGGAATGGAAAGACCGATATTTTCTTCGTGGACCCCGGTGAGCGCTGGCGGTTACATCGAGCAACTCGAGAAGAATATCCTCCCCACATGTCGTCGCCCGTACCTTCTTGGAAACTTTGTACTGCTACAGGGTGCCACCACGTGGAATCGAAGGGCGTTGGAGAAACTCTCGCCTACTTGGAATGGAAGGGGGCTGAGTACCTAAAGAAGATGGAATATCCAAGTAGGTCACCTGACCTGAAACCCCTCAGTTTACCCGTTGAGGCGGAGTTCATCCAGGGTGGATGTACGGGTGGCGAAGAGAATCGACTATCTCGCTGATTCTCAGCACATAATCTCGATGCGCTTCGCCCCAGAAGGCTGTGGCGGAGTGTTGTGATAGTATTTAATATGCTCTTTGGCATGGTGGTACAAATGTCCGATTAGAATTCATGAGGTGTAACTTATAGCGCCACGAAGTCAATGAAGAAAAGTGACTTTTTTGCTCTCCCCCCTGCATATGATTGTGGACAGTGTCTTGAGCGCGCCGAATAGAATCTGCCGTCGGTTGTCGCAACGGATTTCCTGGAGGGAGTTTATCGGACCACTAATATCTGCACTGTTCACGAACAAGTTGAGAAAGATAACACAACACGCAGGGCTGGAAGCGTCCGATGGCGTATGGATAGGCCAGCTGCTTCAAGACATGTGAGTCGCATGTGAGATATCCTAATCTCGGAATGTTTGTTTTTTCAAACCTTATATGAAGTCTCTAATGACGCTTCTGTTTGATACCCTACTTCTTCTGATCTCGGCTCACGGACACGGGATGCGCGGATAGGTTCAGTGCCAACATTGCGAGAACGAAGAAAGTCACAACTGGCTGATTTATTTCGTGGGCGGATGCAGTGTTGGAGATACAAGTCATGGGTTGCTGACCATATCAGGTAATTGCGAAGCAGAACAAGTGGACAGGATTTCGATTCAATTTAAAAATTATACGCTTTCTCTCTGAACGGTGAGTAATGTAACTAGTAACATTGTGTGGAGAGTCTGGTTTAAGTTTTGGGCACAGGTAAGTTAGGTATGATGATCACGAACATAAGCCGCATACTGCTGGCGCCAATTGCGGCTGCGATTTCTCACCAAATTCGACGTAATGTTGCATAGTAGGGTTATTTGATGTCCTGATCACGAATATCGCATTAGTTCTCAGCGATGGCTCCATTCGACGCATATGAAGCCACGGCGGTAGTAGGACGCGGGCCTAGGATGGTTTTATTAGAAGCGGCCCGCGAGCGGATGTGATGATTCGTGTTCAAGAGGTCGACTACTCCTATGACCAACTTCCAGCCAAATATGCCGTAAAAAGTGATCCGGATCCGGCCTGATTCCGGAAAATCCACCAAATTTGAGAGGAATGGCCAACATGTGCTTCAAATATAAGATGTTCATTTAATAATTACTACTTGGAAAGGAAGCAGGAAAGGCAAGTTGCTTGCTCCTGACGTCAAATAAATAAAAAGGCAAAGAAAATTGGCCAAATAGAAATTTCGCAGGGCTCATATCAAGTGTTTTGAATGAAAAGCAAAAAATTTTCGATACCAAGGATTCCAACATTCGACTCGTGTCCCTGAAGGTGCAATGCACTTTATCACATCAGGCGCATCCGCGCTTGCCGCTTGTTATTCCTCTCAGTTGAGCCACCTGGAGCTAAAATTAAATGGTCGAATGACTCTTCAGAGAATCGTTCGATATCCGATGTATATGATTTGTGATTCAGGCCGGTTCAAGAGCACTCATCATATATTACATCTCATTATAAATGGCGGATCGACATGTTGGGCTCCTTATGAGTGGGAATGTTTGTATGCTTTCTGACTTGTGAGAAACAAAGATATCAGATAAACAAAAATGGACTCCTTATAATTTGAAATTGAAAAGAGTCGCGAAAAGATCCGGCATTTTTGTAAGATTCCGAGAAGAAATCAGGCACATTGTTTCAAAAGAGTAAATTCCGCTAATGTGATTTGAAATTGATTGACTTGCTGTGATCATCTCTAATGATGAAAAGTGCTTTCTTGGATGCGAGTTGTCCTTAGAAGAAACTTTCTGTGGACTTGATTGTGACTCTTTTCGTTAACACAATGCGAGTTGATGAGTAGGAATTGCACCAGGTGGAAGATTTTTTTTCTTGGGTGTGGCACAGAACAATTATCTGGTTGTATCTGGACACTCAAATTTGTTTGGCGTTTACTTCCATTAAACGATGAACTGACACGAGACATTAGTCATCGCTTGCCCTGTGTGGCAGGAATAGCATCCTGTCGCTCACCTATATCGAACTCGACATGATTGTTGTTGGATGCTAGAATGCCAATGACTAGTTCGTTTGTTAATACCTTGCTCGTGAGCGCAGAGTCGAGTTGTTTTTGCCTTAATGGTTTGCCGCTCATTTATCAGTGCTGCTTGACCTGTAATTACTGGAAGCTTATTATGTTTATTGTGCAGAAATGACGACGTTGTCCCATTTGGACAGGAGCATGTGACTGCGTATTTTCTTGGGTTACAGGAACATGCATATTGTGCGAAAATGCAGCTCCCAAAAGACTTTGCTTCTTCTTCTGTTCTACATTGTAACTGACCGGCGGAGTTTGGTAGAAGTTGTCCTTGCTGAGATGGTTCGATTCGCGTCACGATGTTGCCGTCCGTTATGAAATAGCTTGATAGAATCGGAAGATTTGGTAGAATTGTACCTGCAAAGGTCAGTCGAAGGTTATTCCATGTGAAAGGATTCCTGGCTGGAGAGTGAAGTGTTGAGCAGTAGTAGAACCTTCTGTTCTTAGCGTGACGGTTCCCTTCTGCTTGGATGCTCCATGTGGGGCATGAAAAGACTCGGTATATCGTGGATGATGTAGGTACTGTATAGTATAGAAGAGAGATGTTGATGTGCAGTGGAAGCACCAGTCGCACCAAAAGCATACACAGCTTGGTACACAGTATGTGTATCCGGATTTGATTTTGCAATCATACTGAAACGTATAGTTTCATCTTCGAGTGACTCACAGGTGTTACCTCTGCAGCTTTCAGTGTTATAGCACTGATGTCGGGATTCCGTGAAGAACTCGTAATCTCTCGTGAAATATTCGGTCTTCTGTTTACAGATGTGAGAGATTTGTTTCAGTCGGATGGAAACTGTTGTAATTCGGTTTTCCTTGTTTCTGAGTAGGAGACAAGCTTCTTTCCCGATTGTCTGAAGGAGCAGCTGGGTGGTTTGTCCGCATTTTCTCTTCGTTTTCGGTGATTGTGCAGTATGATCAGACAACAGCCGCTATTCCATTCAGCCTTCTTCTCCTCTTTCTTAGTTGATAGGGTGATCTTTCTATTTGGTAGCTCTGGTTCTTCCCGGTAAATCTCTTTATATGATGACAGTTGTTTTTACGGCGTAGAGGGGCAGATACAACGATTCCTTCCAATCCTGAAGAGTAGTGTGAAGAGAGGAGTGAAGATGTGGGAGGAGAATCAGTGAGCTTGCTATTTCCGTGATCGTCCAGCACTGGAAATTGTATATCTTCTCCCAGCATAGTTTGCACTTGAGCGTTTCGCAGAGTGGTTGTCCAGGGCACTTTAATGTCGAGGAGAGTATTCTTTCACCGTTGAGCCATCCATTGATTGAGACTTCATATTCGAACATCACTATTGATGTTGGAAATAGTATCGGCTGGTTGGATTGATAGTTGTTCACGAAAATGCATGTTGATGCGCTGCAGCTTTCAAGTACATCCAAAGTGTTGGTCGTCTCAACCAGGGCACATCGTTGTTGGGGAATCCCCAATAGGGGGGTCGTATTTGGCCGCCAGGAGAGGGGGGTCGTATTTGGGCTGGGAAAAATTTATTTTGATAGTTGATTTTTCTCGCTTCACGGACGTTGTAAAGGGGGGGGGTCATACTTGGTCACTGTTGGAAGGGAAGGGGGTGTTTTTTACTATATACCCCCGCTCAACGGCTCGATTCGATGAGGAAGGACAGAGGGCTTCAGAGGTGGGGGTCTTTCCAACCCCGAAGAAAAGGGGGGTCCTGAAAAGGGGGGTCCTACAGACTCGACTAAAATCTCCAACCAATGATGTGCCCTGGTCTCAACAGTTATTCCTCCTTGATGACACCTTGGTATCGAGTAGTTTCCATTTGAATTTTTGATATCTCTATGAGAGAAGTACTCTTTCGGCACAGTTCCCCAAGGCTCGTATTACGATGGAGGAGTTTGCGTAGTCAAGCGTCGTGATGGGTGTGTAGTAGGTGCAGAAGACCGATCCAGCTGTTGGTTGTGAGCATGTGTGATATCGGCAGAAGGCCGGCGATCCGGACTTCGATGCCTTGATCGAAACTGGACTAGGTACCAATTTTCCATCGTAGGCGAAGCAGTAGTAGTCTTCCTTATTGAAAAACTGCCTTGTCGTGATGCGCAGTTCCGGTACAATTATTGTTGTGCCATCATAGAGTTCAACCTGTTAGAAAATTCCCACTTTTTTATAACTTGAACATATTGATGATT